CATTAGCACCCTCAACCCTCATGTCTCATATGGCAGTATCAGCACTAAGGAGCTGGAATATGAACGGGAACTGTCACTCAAAGGTCTCGGCTACACCCCCATTAACAATGTCACCAATCACATCATGGAAGAGGTGGCACGGGAACTGTGTAAGTCACTTTTATTGGTATCTTTCTTTACTTTAAAAAAAAAAGTTAATTGTTACCAAATTTTGCTGTTTAATTTGACAAAATCACAAAACTAGAACATTTCACTGATCTGTAACGTTTATGCGTAATTCAAATTTTTCTGTTCCTCATTTAAAGCAAACAACTAAATGGTATTGCATGGTGTATTTTGTATGTTACTGAATGCTTTGCTAATTAATGGTGAGGTAGCATTAATTCTGATGGTTTTTAAAAGTAAACTCGCTGTGTGCTTTTCTTTTTATTTGTTTGTGGGTATTGAATCCTCAGCTATGAATGAGCGATTAGAGATGTTCTCCACTGAGAAAGATTTGGAGAATGCCAGTCTCTATGAACCTGATGGCTTTGTAGGAGTGGTCTTCTTGGATTCAATGTCGTACCGTCTGCGATTCCCGTACAGCCAGCTCCCTCTGCCTAGCGACTTCACCGAATCCATAAGTGAGAATCACTCAGTGCTAATGTCATAAAGCCACAGCAGCTGTGGCACCTGATTTAGCTTCTTTGGTTAATTAGAGACCTCCTTTTTAATGCAAATGACATTCACTTTGCAACCGTTTGATCTGTAATGAAAGGAATGGGTATGACGGGTATTATTTTTTCTCTGTTCCACAGCAAACTGTTACACAAACTATGTCAACTGCCGTGCCGCCAACTACTGGTATTCTGGATTCATACGGCTGCAGTCTCTCATTGATGCTGCCATTATACAGGTTTGAAATGGCATGGATGATTAATTTATTAGCATTTAAGCATTGTAGCTGTTAATATGCAGTGTATACATCTGCCTGCTGAAGTTTGGGCTTATACTAGCATTTAAAAGTTTATGGTCAGTAAAAATATTAAAAAATAAGCCATAACTCCAGTCTTTACATGATCATATGATCCTTTAGAAGTCATTCTGTGTTGATTTACAGCTTACTTTTTTTATTACTATCAATGTTGAAAACAGTTGTGCTGTCGTGTACAGTCGTGATGCATGTTTTTTTGCAGGATTCTTTAAGAGAAAGTTCAAAAGAACAACATTTATTTTGATTTTTGCCAATATCCGATATGCCGATATTTTTCGACTCATTTTGGCCGATGCCGATACCGATATATTTCCTTTTGTTTGGAAACAACACAAAGTCTCTTCTGTGCAGGGATTATAAACAAATAATTTTTCATTTTGGTTAGTTTTTAACAAAAACTTACTTTTGAGAATTAAATAAACAATGAAGTTCTTTTTATAATGACAGTACATCGAAAGCTTTGAAAATAACTATAAAGCAACTATAAAGCAATCCTTAACATTTTATTTGAATATTTAACATTTGTAGAGCAAAAGAGTTTTACAAATTCTGAAAATCTTTTAGAGCTCCTTGTTTTTAAGTTTTCATAATCCGTTTGAAAAAAAGCATATTACACATTAATGAATAAATCTGTGTTATATATATATATATATATATATATATATATATATATATA